GTCCACCCGATCGGCAGCTCCAGTCATCTTAAAATGGACTCCTTAGCGTACTTTGAGCTCCAAGAGCTTTAAGCGTAAAACTTTACAACATTATGTGGGTTTCTACAGCATGAGTATAACACTGGCTGTCAATAGTTTTAGGGGAGATCTGGCTTTCCTCTTACATTTTCGAAATTTGCCGTTTTTCTGAAAAATTTGGTATTTCCAAACAAAGTAATATGACTTTTTTTATTAGGGGGGGGGGTTGGCAGATTTGAATAATGCAATTGACCTAATTGTGAATAATTCCTGGCCTCGAAGAGATTCGAACACACACCAGCAGGGAAGGCTTTCGTACACCACCAGATGTAGGTTGGAATCCCACCGAAGTCACAAATTATTCACATTTGCGTCAATAGAATATTAAATTTCTTACTTTTTTTAATTTTAAATTTGCCGAAGGTTGTTCGTTATTTCAAAACCTTGATACATTCGCTGATTCCCGCTTGGAAGTGGTTACCAATATTTCGTTAACGTTGGCACTTTGCAGCAAATATGTCACACCCTCTATGCCGTCACTTAGTACACAAGTAGGTTGAGCATCGCTTGTTAGAACAAGTGTACGCCATATTATGGTATACTATTTAGGGGTCTTAGTACGTATGATTACAAGGATTTAGCACTTTAGCATACGCATGTGCTTATAGCAGTAGTATCCTAGTTTTCCTATTCCAAACCTAGAAAAAACGGACACAGCCTGGTGGATAAAGCAGAGGGCGGAAACCAAGCTAAGCCCTGATGTGCTCAGGGCCTCAAACACATATTTACCCGAAATACTATAAACCGGGATTTCAAACTCCCTGTTGAGATCAAGAGGGCAGGAGCCCCAGCGTTGATTTTAAATCAATGTTACTTCTGAATAATATTAGCGTCAGAAATAGTACCAGTACAAACTCGATGGTCGAATACACACACAAGTTGAGCATACGTTTAAGTACATTATTTTTGGGGTAGATAGTTAAAAGATCGACTAAGCCCTTGTAGTCAGAGGAAGTCAAGATAACAAACATTTTCGAAGTCGACAAACATATACCCACATCTGCTTGAAGAAATCGAGTATCAGACAGCTAACGAAGGTTATATTTTAGCTAGGGTCAAAATTGTTTGAGTGTTTCTCAGGCTATAACATAAGATAATTAAACGTCATAAATATACAGTAATTTACATTCGAAACCTACATTAATGAAATCCTCACATGTAGTCAGTGCTCAATAAGATGATCGAAATTAGAAATGCGTTTTTGATCATGAATAGATTAGGTAAGGGAAAGGAAGGTCTATTACTGGTAATCGTGCAACACAACCTCAAGATAATTCAGTCATACCATTATACCAGTTTTTGAATGTATTTCTCAGTCAAATTAAAAAACCACACTAAATAAAAATGATACCGTGTAGGTGAATCTTGCCACTATTTTAGACAGCCTTATAGATTGAAGTCTATTATATAAACATTGATAAGCACTTGGCAGAAAATCACGCTTTCCTTAAGTTTTATCCTCCAAGAAAGCACATTTTTCGGTTTTTAAAAAGAAGTTTTATTTCCTGAACAGTTTTCCACATAATCTGCCCTTACAGTTACGTTTTAAGTTTATAAGCTATAAGTTTTAGACTTTCAATATGAGGAAAAGGATGTATTTTGCTATGTCATTAAGAAGATGCTATAGAGTGGTCCTGAAATTCTTAAATGCAGGTGGACAATTTTGTATAAGGGGCAGGAATAAACAGACAGATATATTGCTACTAGAAAGGACACTTCAAAGCAATCGCCGAAAGACGCTCTCACTGTACGTGTGAACTTATAGCTTAATTGCAGCCACACTTCGCCGCATAGACATAGCGTGTGTGCAGATAACGAATGAAACCCCACAATGACTGAACGTCAGCTTACGACTGTTATAAAGTAAATTTTTACCAGTCCTTTGCACTGACACCAGAACTATGGACAACTTAAACACGTTTATATCGCCTATCTTGCAAGTTTTGAACACTTGCACAGACAGTCACGAAAACTTGCCAAGGGTCTTTGAGAGAAATATATATAAAGATGACAATAAGGTGTGTGCAGGTAGTTGGGGAGGAGATGCACATACCTGTTGCATAACTTCCGGGGCCATCCAACAAGGTGTGCCCACAAACGTATACCTCCGAAGATCCACACTTCCGGTCGCCGACATAGGCTGGGTTGCAAGGAATCCAGCCACCCCAAAATCAGCTATCTGAATCACCCCATCGTCTTTAACAAGCAGGTTTCCACACTTCAAATCACTATAATACAGAACAAAGCACACAGTACACAGCTAGCTGGAGGAGGCTTTAACTGCTGATACATTGTCCAGCAACAACATGTTGTGTGCGATTAATAAAGATTATCAAGAGACAGTTGCCTTCAAAGAAAGGTCAGAAAATGAATGCGATGAACCACCGTTACCAAACCATCGACAGGTGCAGCTTGGCATGATATCGTAATAAACTACAAAAAAACATCAGCTTATCTAGAAACACGTCGAATACGCTTGAGTTGTAAGACTACTACTACCACTCTAGGACATCAAATGCACTGTCCAAGAATGAGATTTTGAGGGGTCGGCCGAAGATCCGATTCCAATTTGGAAAGTTTCTGATTGCACAGTTCAACAGACTGGAAT